ACACTGGGGATCGCCCCCACAACTAGAGTATATGTCCTTATCTGGAATTGAACCAGTCCGCAGGCCGATGCTCTGTCCACTGAGCCAAACCTGTCAGGGCAAAGGGCTGAATTTTTATGGTGCAAATTTTATTCTAGATCAGGGAGCGCCCCCTACTGGGGATCGAGCCCACAACTAGAGTATATGTCCTTATCTGGAATTGAACCAGTCCGCAGGCCGATGCTCTGTCCACTGAGCCAAACCTGTCAGGGCAAAGGGCTGAATTTTTATGGTGCAAATTTTATTCTCAAGATCAGGGAACTGTTTCCAGAAAACCTGTGCCCCAAGAATTTCTGTACTATCTCCACTGCCAATTGGAGAAATTAGAGATTTAAAAAATGGAAGTTTTATAGAGTCCTACTTCATCATTAATAAATGCTTTGGGTTTATAGAGCTCTATTCTGATTACCTATGTGATAGCACTCTCTCTCTCTTTCTCATATATGAGAGAAGAGTACATCATCTGTTAATAGAAAATGATATTCACAGCTCATATTCTCTTTAAGGTAAACAAAGCTACTTGTCAACTACCAAAGAACACTTTCATCATAAATGAACTCTCCACTATGTTGAACTTTATTGAAGAAAGAAGAAGAATGTCCTATAGAGATAACAACCTGGTGAGAGTAACATTTTCACTTCTGAGTGAAAATACCAAGAGGGCTCTGAATATTTCCATACTTTAAAGGGGGGCACATTAATAGCTATGTAGGTATATAGGTATCACGTTGACAAATCAACATTTGAAAATGTCCTTACTGGAATGCTGAATATGCTAAATTTGATGATCATTGAAAACTTAAACATCTTTCACTCACAAAACCAATGCATTTTCTTAGAAATTTCTTTCTAAGTAATTTGGATTCTTAAAAACAGTTTCTAGAAAAATATAGAGGGAAATAATTTAAGGTGATGAAGTAAAGGAATGACGTTTTTTCTCTTCTTTTAATTATGAAAACTGTTACCTGTTTGTTTCTTAGATAACTGCAGGAAACTTCAGTCCCATTATTTTCAGTGAATTTCCATTTATCTTTAATTTGTTATCCAAAATTAAATTATGGCAAGCTGATTCCGTTAAGAAAATACTGGTATGTATGCCTTACATTTTTATTATGAAAAAATTTCAAACATATACAAAATAGAAATAATGATGTAATGAATCCCATCACAAAGTTTTAGCAGTCATCAACATTTTGCTACGCTTTTATTTATTACTATTGTTGTTTTTGTAGTTGTTAGTATTTTTGCTGAATTATTTTGAAGCAAATCCCAGGCCCACTTTCTTTTCACCTCTCCATACTTCAGCACATTATTTCTGGTTGTTTCACTCTTATTTATGCTAACATTCATCAGTGGGTTCAGCTGGTGACCACATGATATTTCCATTGTCATGTTTCCCATTAACCTTTTATTTAATTACTAGTAGCCCTGCGCAGGAATCCGTTACTAGTAGCTCACTGCCACTTGCCTCAGGTGGCCACCCACCCACCACCTATGGTAGCTCTCTTCTGCTCGTAGCTCGCTGCTCCACCCTCTTGTAGCTCTCCCCACTCTTAGCTTGCTGCCCAGCCCTCCTGTAGCTCTCTGCCACTTGTAGATCAGTCGTGACATTATAGCATCCCAGCTAATTTGCATAGTCCTCTATTATTATATTAGATTCGATCCATTGTTTTGGTTGAAGTTTGCAAAACAGCAACATTTCTAATATTATAATTTCTTCCAAAGTTAAAGAACTGCAAAGAACTTTTACTTTTTTTACTTTTTTATTTTTTCTGTAAAGAACTTTTCCTCATCAATCAGAGCTACTTGGCTCCCCTGAAAAATCATCCATATAGGAAGGTAGACTAATGGTTAATCCTTTTCCATGCAGAGCAGTTGTACCAATTTATGTTACCACCAGCAAAGCATGAAATGCCTCTTTTACACTATAATCAATACAGTGTTACCAAGCTCTGTGATCTTTTCCAATTCTTTGGGTTAGCCATGATATTCCAATTTAATTTTTTAAAAATTATGTTTTTGTTTCAGAGAGAGGAAGGGAGAGGGAGAGAGAGAGAGAAACATCAATGATGAGAGAGAATCATTGATTGGCTGCCCAAAGCATGCCCCCCACTGGGGATCAAGCTTGCCACCCAGGCATGTGCCCTGACCAGGAATCAACCTCTTGCTTCATGGGTCAATGCTCAACCACTGAGCAACACCAGCCGGCTCATTTTAATTTACGTTTCTCATCTATATATAGAAAAGCCTAAGCGACTGTTAGTCTGAACGACCAGAATGACTGGAACAACTGGTCAACCAGTCGCTATGATGCACACTGACCACCAAGGGGCAGAAGCTCAACACAGGAGCTGCCCCCTCGTGGTCAGTGTGTTCCCACAGCCAACCTCCCACAGTCCCTCCCCCTGTTGCTTACCCTGGCTGGCAAGCCCCAATTGGCCTGGCCCTGATCGGCCCGGCCCCGATTGGGACTCAGTGAGATGGCCACAATCGGCCTTGATCGCCAGCCGGACCTAGAGGCCCCACCCATGCACGAATTCATGCACCAGGCCTCCAGTTATTATATAATGGCTGAGGCCTCACTTTCTTTAGCTAATATCCATTGTTTTCCTACTATGAGCAATACTGAAATGATCAAATAAATGCTCTTTTTCTCTCCTCTATCCAGTTTTAGTGACTATACTAAGTTCTTAGTTGTTACTTTTTGAATTTTCATATCTGTTTAAGAGTCTTGGAGCTTGAGCCCTGGCCGGGTAGCTCAGTTGATTAGAGCATCATCTCGATAGTCCAAGATTGTGGGTTCGTTCCTAGTCATGGCATATACAAAGAGCAGTCAGTGAATGAATAAGTGGAACAACAAATCAATGTTTCTCTCCCCCCACCCCCCGGCCCCCCATCCTATCTCTCTAAAATCAATAAATAATAATTTCTTTAAAAAGTCTTGGAGGATCATTTGTAAGCCCCAACTGATATTATTTTGATTCCAGTGAATTTATTCTGTTTTCCATTTATTCCCTTCCTTCCACTCTTTTTCTGGTAGTTGTATTATTCCCACAAAACACTTACATGGTATTTTGTCTCTCTTGTCACCATCAGCCTTATACTCTCAGATATTATACTCACCACATGCCCAGACATTATGCTAAAGATTTTCCAAACATTTTTTGATCATTGAAGTTTGTTTTCTAGGCCATTCCTCAGGAAAGGTTCATATCTATTTTCCATGATGTTTATAGAAAGACTACAAGAGCCCTAGCCAGTTTGGCTCAGTAGATAGAGCGTTGGCCTGTGGACCAAAGGCTCCCAGGTTCGATTCTGGTCAAGGGCATGTATCTTGGTTGCAGGCTCCTCCCCAGCCCGGGAGGCAACCAATTGATGTGTTTCTCTCACATCAATGTTTCTCTCTGTCTTTCCCTCTCTCTTCTATTCTCCCTAAAAATCGATGGAAAAATATCCTTGGATGAGGATTAACAAAAGACTAGAAGAGAGACTTTAAAGACTTACAGGAATCAGGAACATACCTATTACTTTTGCTAATAATTCAAAGGAGATGGGCCATCTAAGTGAAAAGTCTTGGACATCACATGCACAAAAGGAGTCATGTCAGTAATAAAGTATTACCTTTTCATTCCCTACTAATCATAGAGCTTATATGACATTTTCCAATGAGCCATGCCTGTAAATCCATAAACACCACATCCTATATAATAAAAGCCTAATATGCAAATTCACCAAATGGCTGAATGACCGGTCGGCGGGTGGCGGAGCCAGTGAGTGGGCACTGCCGGGCCAGCCAAGGTGGGTGCCAGTGGGCAGAGGGAGGGGACAGTGATCAGGGGGACAGGGCTGGCCACTCGCCGGCCAGCATTGTCCCCGATTGCCCAGCCGGTCACCTCCCACAGAGGGAGGCCAGACTGCGGCTTTGGCCCGCTCCCCTTGGGGAGCAAGACTAAGCCATCAGTCAGACATCCCCCAAGGGCTCCCGGACTGAGGACGCAGGCTGGGCTGAGGGACACCCCCCCACTCAAGTGCATGAATTTTCATGCACCGGGCCTGTAGTTTATTTACAATAATCAACCTAGAAGGACAAAGTACTTCCTGCTAAAAGCATTCCACAGTTAAGGACTCTCCCTTTAGTTACTGTTATTAGTGTCTGTCATCAGATTGACTTGGTCATCTCTTCTGTTTCCCAGCCACCTTTTTTTTTTTTTTTTCATTT